ATAAAACAATATAAGAATATTATCTGAGTTACTTAATAATAAGTCATAAGATTGCATGCATATGTAATATAAGTTATAAGAGGAGAAAACATGTATATATATATATATATATATGAGAAGATATAAGAACAAGAAACAAGTCAAGTGATAAAGGAATATGAAATTGTATGAAACATGTCATAAGCTATACGATTAAATGATAAATGATATGAGCACATGTATATGTGATTATGAATTACAGGAATATGAGAAAAGGTATATGTGACATGTGAATTATATGGAAGTGAAATACGTGACTATGTGATCATATGAAATGTGATAAGAAGCTATGTACCTATGCGATAAGAATATGTGAAATGATATAAAGATAATGCCCATGTTATTTTTTATGAGATCTAGAGATATAGTTGGCATGCTAAGAGTCGAGGGATTATCAGTGGTCCTTCGGGACATAGTGGCCCTACGGGACAAATTCTACGCGCCCCTAGTGGGAATTTTACGAACTGTAGTGACAACAAAGTGCACAACCTCTATGTACTCACGTATCTTTAGCTCTCAGAAATGTACATGGGCTAAACAATGATATAACAATAAATATATTACATGTGAAAAATATGCTTTTGTGATATATGATAATATGTGTATTACATAAGTCATATGATGATTTGTGTAATGTTTGGTTACACGAGTCATATGTTGGTTAAAAATGTTAGGTACAAGAGGATATGATTAACACATACAAAAGATAATTATATTGATAGTGAAATAAGGTAAATGATGGAAATGATGAATGATGTGTATATGTGTACAGTTGATTATATGTGATGTTATATTGTCTTGTGTGATAGCAAGATATGATATGTACATGCATGGCTAAGTAGTTAGAGTTACTTTTATACATTAATGCCTCACTAAGTCATCGACTTAGCGTGTGAATGTTTCACACGTAGGTTTGTAAAGCTAGAAGAGAAGTAAAGAGGAGCAAGATAGGTCAGCATCTTCCTTACGAATGACAGATCAGAAACATATTAAATATATGTGTTTGTTTTATAGAATTTAGTTGGCATGTAATTACAAGATTTAAATCGAATATGCTCTGATCGGTTTGTAAAAAAAATTGATTGTATTTATTAATGTGAAGTATCCATTTTCTCAATTGATGACTTTAAGATTATTTTTTTTGATAACGTAGGACCTCCCAAGGCCAGACTGAAGAACCCAACCCTACAAGGCAACCTTCGGAGGGGCTCAAAGAATCCACCACTCTGTCCCCCCGCTGACTTTAAGATTTTTGTGGATTTATAAATAACAAAGTTTTGAAAAGTCAATGTGGCACCTCACACTCGGATCCGGATCGGATACGGGTTGGAGGTGTTACAATTTATATGTTCACGAACATATTCATTTAATGTTCATGAACAAGTTCGTTTATATGTTCACGAATATGTTTATTTAATGTTTACAAACACGTTCGTTTAGCTTTGTTTATTGTTCATTCAAGTTTTAGTTTTACCTTTTCAAGCTATGAAAAATGGTAAAATTATACCATTATTGTTTAAGCTCTTTGAATTTCACAGTTTAAATTCAATTTTTATCATATGTTCAATTTAGTCACTACCATCACCAATATTTAAAATGTAACAAGAAAGAAAAGGAAAACTGGATAAATAAGATTGTCATGAACATAAATAAACGAGCTCGTAAACAAGTTTATATACGAACTTGTTCATGAACATAAACAAACTGAAAACAACTCTATTCGTGTCCGTTTGTTTGTTAAATGAACATAAATTTTTTTGTTCATACTCATTTATTTAACTTAACAAATGAACGTTTTATAAACTATTCATGAACAATTCACTGAATACTTTGTTCATTTATGAACAATTCACTGAATGCTTTGTTCATTTAATCCTTAATTGAATCATCATGAAAAATTCTACTCAATTGGATTTTGATAAACTAAAGTATAAAGAATTGAATTGAATTAATAAAATAATTAATTGTTACTTTCTTTAAAATATTATATTATTTTTATTTTTTTTAATATAATAATAATGATTTATATAATTTTATGCCAAATATAGTTATCTAACTATTGTTTATGATGAGTAAGCATATTTGACCTATTAGTTAAGTTGTTCATTTTTGTTCTATCGTATTTTAAATTATAGGTTTTAGACTCGTTAAGAATACTTTCATTTATTTTCTTAGAGTTTCCTCTTCCTTTTTCTCTTAAGTGGAATTGAGATTAAATTTAGAATTTGTCAAAAAAAATAATGATGAACTTATTTATTTCGATAGTGCAAAAAATTAAATTAATAAAATTTGTAAATACAAATAATTAAAATTATAAAATTATTTTAAATTATAAAAAAATAAATAAAACACAAAAATTTTGATGACTAAAAATATAAGACAAATTACACATTTAGTACCTAAAACTATCAGTTTTGACTCGTTTTAGTATCTAAACTTTTATTTTTTTTAAATCATACCTAAAGTTTAGTTTTTATTTTATTTTTGTACTCCGCCGTTAAAAAATTAACGCGTTTAGTACATAAACTATCAATTTTGGATCATTTTAGTACTTAAACTTTCAATGTACTAAAATGAAATAAAAACTAAAGTTTTTAACAACAAGTACTAAAATGATACAAAAAATAAACTTTAAGTATGATTTTGAAAAAAATAAAAGTTTATGTGCTAAAATAGATCAAAACTAATAATTTAAGTACCAAACGCATAATTTGTCCAAAAATATAATACTATACCACTATAGGGGTATTCAAATCCTAGTACATGTTTTCGGGTACTCGAGTATTCTGTAGTTGATTGGCCGACCCGTTTCCCGACCCGGATGTTAAGGCTTTAAGGGTACCTGGTTCCTAACATAAAATTTTTCACGTCCACTGCTACTAAACTGCCAGTAGAATCTAAGGTGGCGTTTGGTTCGCTAGAATATTTATGAGGGAATTGGAATCTATCAGGAATTAGAATCCAATTTCATATTTTGTTTGGCTCTCAGACGTGTCAGATGAATTTGATTTCAGTAATGTAAAATGATAGAATTACCCTTCTTGTTTTTTTTTTGCTTTATTTTAGTTTGTTTTACAACTTACATGTAGTAATATATTATAAAAAATTAAAAAATATTAAAATTTCATTTTATTGATTGATTATTCATTTCAATAAATTATAAAAATCATGCTAATAAACATCATAAGTTAAAATCATCGCAATCAAAATATGTTAATAAGTTACCAAAAGATAGAACAATATTTCGATACATTCCAATCGGAGTATGTTAATTAGTTACCAAAAAATATACCAAAAACTATTTTTATTCAATATATGAATTAGAAACCCGACCCGACACGACACGAAATAATAAAAAAAAAAATTTTTATTCAATAAAAATATTGACTTAATTGCAAAAAAATTATATATAGAGGGGTATTATTGTAATTATTCCTAAATATATAATGTAAAATTATATATTTTTTTGGGTCGGGTCCAGTTTTTTTACCCTAAACCCGAACCCGACTCGACCCGACCCGAATATCACACTTAAAAAAACTCGATCTGACCCGAATATCACACTTAAAAAACCTCGACCCGACTCGACCCGAATATCACACTTAAAAAACTCGACCCGACCCGAACAAAATAAAGTTTCACCCGACCCGACCCGAATATATGAATTAGAAATCCGACTCGACCCGAAATAATAAAAAAATATTTTTATTTAATAAAAACAGTGGCTTAATTGAAAAAAATTATATACAGAGGGGTATTATTGTAATTATTTCTAAATATATAAGGTAAAATTATATATATATTCGGGTCGGGTATTTTTCACCCTAAACCCGAACTCGATCCGTCCCGACCTGAATATCACACTTTAAAAAACCGACCCGACCCGACCCGACCCGAATATATGACTTAAAAACTCGAACCGACCCGAAATAATAAAAAATATTTTTATTCAATATATGAATAAGTTACCAAAAGATTGATGAGGGTAGTATGATCAAATTTCAATTCCCTCGTGCAAACCAAACGTCACCTAAAACTCCATTGGCACTGAACGTAAAACACAAACTTCACCCAAAAAAGAAAAGGCATAGTAGTAGAAATTAAGAAAGCAAAAAAATTGTATCTTCAAATTTGCAGAAATTTACTAGAGCAATTGAAAAGTAAGAATTCCCAGAAATATCCAAGTTCAAGGAAGAGAAAGCAGCCAAGGCAAGGACCCGAGCCAGAATCAAATACAAGAACCAAATTCAAGCAAAAGATAAATCCAAGAAACAAACAAAACCAACAACTAAAAACAACCCAGAATTCCAAACTAACAACAATACTAGAATCAAATACAAGGAAAGAGAACAGCATGATCAAAGAATTGCAGTTCTTGTAGAAAATATCTTCATTTGTACAGAAACAATTTGGAAAGACAAAGGATGCAACCGGGTACCCGAAAAAATGTAATTTGTGACTCGGACCAGACCTGGAAATGTCGGTCCCGGTCGAATAACTTTTTAAATAATTATCTGATTTTTCTAGTTCGGATCGACACAACCGGGTCGAATATTTTTTAACAACACTGCCACTTTATAGCCTCATTCTAATTTTAATGAAGGAATAATTTGTTATAACAAAATTTTGACTGAGTAATTTGTTTGCAAATTTTTAAAGAATAATATGTTTATTATCGAACTAGTAATCATGTGATAATATATTATAATATAATATAATATAATATAGTGAGAGATTCATATACAGTTCTGATAAGAGTGTTCAAAGATACAACTTTGATATGGCTAGGACCGTATAAATGAGTCGAATCGAGTTCAAGTATTACCGAGTTTGATTCGGAAATTCTAAATAGGAACTTGATTCGATTTGAAAATTCGTGAGTCTAAAATTTTCAAACTAAGTATGGCCTTGAAAATTATTGAGATAAATTACAGCAGCAGGGGATAACATTCTGAATATTTTCTGAAGTCACCTGTATCGTCTGTTCCTGGAGAATATTATAAATACATAACATCAAGTTCGAGTTCATAAACTACCTACTTCGGATCAACCTTGTCTTCCTCTAAGGCCGCCTTTATAAATTTAACGACCACCTGTGACAACTCCGTTTGATGCGAGGTGAATCCATGATCGCCTCCGTCTATGATCTGAAATTGATGATTCGGTATAATCTCGCCAAACTCCGATGCATCTTCAACAGGAACCATATCATCAGCTGATCCATGGACCGTCAAGACCCTGTACATAAACAACGGATACTAGTATTGACGTTCATTAACAAAAACGTCGAAAGCGAGCCCAATATATCGATAGGCGAAGAAAAGATGATCTCAAGTGAACAATCTAGATTCGAGTCTTACCGACATTCTTGATCGATGTTACGGCAAGGTTCACGCATGTCCATTGTTATGTGATCCATTAAAACTTCCTCAGTCACACGGAATTCAAAACCTCCTAGAGATGAACTAGTGATTAGCTTGACACAGAATCATATGCATTAAGGAAGTTGAATAAACAAATTACCTTGCTTGACATCAATGTATCCATCCTTCTTAATCTTTTCCATGAAGTCTTCTCCGAAGCGTTCCGCCAGGCCTCTCTTCATGTCGCAGCGTCCGGCAACGTTTACAACTATACGGATATCTCGATACTTTGAAGCATAAAGAAGCGCCACATCTCCCCCTGCATTCCATTGTTTCAGTGACATAATGGTTGAGCATAAAGATTGACAAGCTTAACTTGCACCGAGATGTTAGCTCGGTTATGGTTTCCGTGCATGCATCGATGATCAAAACATTATCAGGTAAAGTTACTGCTAAGATCTAACAAAATATGACCTGAAAACTTCTCTGTTCAGAATGCAATTGAAGATATAGTCTTCATGAACTTGGTTTCTCCTAGGAAATACATACCCACCTTTACTATGCCCAAGAATTGCGCTTACAACGCGATTTCCGCTGGAAAAGTGTCGAACGACGGCATGTAAATCATCCACTTCTCGGTAATAGCTACCGTATTCGAATGAACCTTCACTTTCTCTGAAGATATCGTGAAACAAGTTAAATTCTAACTATGAAACAAAGTGAACAACAACCAAGCATACTAGGTAAGAACTAAGAACTACACCATATAATGCACATTGATTTCTATCATTGATATTAAACTCTTCATTTTCTTTGCAGTACAGTGTCTGACGCTTGTACACATGACACAGTTGGGGTATGGAGGCATATACGAATTGATATTCATATCCAACACTCGCATTAAAGTCCGGGTTCTACTCACCCGTTTCCGGAAAAATCGAAACGAAAGACACTGATTCCTTCTTTCTCTAAAGCAGCAGCAAGGTTTACCATGATCCTGTAATCCTGAAGTGGAACTAACCCAAGTGAGCTTGCCTTCAATGGCACTTGCAGTCAATGCATTCGCTACTGAAAGCATGCTAAAAGCGATCAAATGACCCAAATTTATAACATAATATTAAATTACGACCACAATGCAACGTAACGACCACGTCATAATAGTTTTCAGGATTAGACTAGGTTTCCAAATACTAACCTTGCAAGATCTGAAACCATGACATAAGACTACAATCTCTTTAGACTCGGTTTCATGCAATAACCCCACCAGTTTTTCTCCATGTTTATTCGGAATTATCACTCTCTGCTGCTCGATCACTGAAAAAATTGAAAAAGAAAGAAAGAAAAGAAATCACTTTCTTCTTCTTTCGAAGTTCTTTACATTAAAAAATAAAGTGGAATCAAAACTTAAAACTAGAAAATAAAACTATTAATTTAGGACCTGGGATTTGTGCAGAATGAGATTGAGCCATCCCCGAGGTTGCGGAGTTTGCTTTGGAGATGCGTCGATTGGTGTATGATATGAGCCGGATTCGAACTTGTGGAGAAGGAGACTTAGGATCACTAAATATATCTGAAGAGCAACAAGTCAACTGTAGCAGGTAGCAGGTAGCAGGTAGCAGGTCAATTAGCACGTCGGGAAATTAATCAAAAAAAACTCAAATTTTTTAATGAAATGAATACAAATAAAAATTTAAGGGTTAATACCGTCTATAAAATAAGTAATTAATCGAAGAAAGCTCAAATTTTAGGGTCAGTACGAAAAAATTTAGGGTGGACACCATTAGTATAATACGTAATTAATCGAAAAAAATTCGGATTTCAAGATGCATACGTGTTCATAATACGTGGCTCCGCCACTGGTGAGGGGTACGAGCCTTCATCTAATATTGATCTGTGTAAATGTTTGTTAAAGACGCTATATAAATCATCAGGTTTTAACTTTGTATTAAAATCATTATATTTACCTAATGCAATTTCCATACTCATGCATTCATCTAATATTGATTCAAACTTCATAAATGGAGTATCATAATTCATGAAAAGTAATTAAACTAGTCACAATTTAAATATAAATAAATTATTAGGGTTAATAGAGTGGTACAGCAAATGGAGATCATGCTTTTATAAGTACAATGATCCAGCAGAAGTTTCAGTGCATTCGATCTTGGTTGGTTTGAAGCAACATTATAGCCTGCTTATCACCCACAGCAGCAGGGGCTTACATTGCCGGACTATTCCCACCGTCCCCGGTATCGGATTCGTTGTCTAAAGCCGACTTTATAAATCTAATACAACGGATGCCAGCTCGGTCTGATGTGAGGTGTATACATGATCTGCTCCGTCTATAATGTGCAATTGGTGATTAGGTATGATCTTGGCGAACTCAAATGCATCATTAACGGAATTTATTTAATCATGAGAATCATGGACCGTCAAAACTCTGTATGTAACAACGATGAATAACAACATAAATAACGAATACATCTAAAGGTAGTTCAATGAATTAGAGAAGAAACAATGATCTCAAACGAACTGTAGATTCGAGTCATACCGACATTCTTTATCGATCTTAAGACAAGCTTCACGAATGTCAATTCTCAAGTAATCCATCAAATCTTCTTCGGTCACACAGTATTCAACACCTACTAGATCGAAACAAGATTAGAGCAACCTCAACATGTTATGACAGAAGAAAACGAGCCGGGAAGCTAGATAAACAAATTCTCTCTCTTTAAATTGATGTATCCATCCTCCTTGATTTTTTCCATATAGTCTTCTCCGAAGAGTTCTGCAAGGCCTCTCTTCAAGTCGTAGCGGCCGGAAACGTTTACGACTATACCGATACCTCGATACTTGGAAGCGTAAAGAAGCACCACATCTCCCCCTGCATTACATTATCTCAGTGTGGTCTAATACTTGTAGGGTAGTTTTCGGTCGAACATTTATCAGCCGTTCATGTAGGAAACACTTGGGGGATAGTATACTTGCCTTTAGTATGGCCGAGAATCGCGCATACGACGCGACTCGCGCAGGAAAAGTGTTGAATTACAGAATGCATATCGTCAGCTTCTCGGTAAAGGTCACTAAAATGAAACGAACCTTCACTTTCTCTGAGAAAAAGGGAAACTAGTTAATTAATTACTGTCAACAAAAGCCGACTCAGAAAATCTCTACACATCTTTCAAGTACTCGTACACATAACCAGGGATGGACTTTGGGGACAGTTATCCCCTGAATATTTAAAATTATTATAAATTAATTTTTTTTTATGTATTTTCAATTGAAAATCTGTTTCGTCCTCTAGAATTTTAGTTCGTTCCTTAGAATTTTGGTCATCTTCTTAACTTTAAGTTCGCCCCTAACATAAAATCTTACGTCCGTCCCTACAATATATGTCAGTCGCAATGCAGTCTGGTCTGAGTAACATTAGATGTCAATTCTACTCACCCGTTAGCGGAAAAATCAAACGGAACGTACTGATTCCTTCTTTCTCGAAAGCAGCAGCAATGTTCACCAAAATACTGTCATCCTTAAGTGGAATTAACCCAAGTGAGCTTTCACCAGCAAGATAACAGAGATACAAAGAAGAAGAAATACCAACCTTGTTGCATGCGGCACCATGGCATAAGACTGCAATCTCTTTATACCCTGCTTCATGCAATAATCCCACCAGTTTTTCTCCGTGCTTGTTCGTAATTATCACTCTCCGCTGCTTAGTCACTAAATTTTCAAAAAAAAAATGTCATTTTTGTTTCTCTTCTTTGCACTAAGAAGAAAATAAAATCGTAGTGGAGTTCAAAGAAGAAAACCTGGGTTTTGTGCGTTTTGTGCAGGATGAGAGTCAGCCATTGCCAAGGCCGTAAAGCAGTGATAGCCATTTATTATTGGCTTAATTATAAAAATGTCCAAACTATAGCGATTTTACTAAATAAAAGTTCGAACGTTTTTTTAAGAGAAAATAACCTCAGTGATCGAAAAATACCTTATAATATACGATTTTAACCAATTTTTTTTAGATTTACTCAAATGACCAACAAAATCGCAACGCGAACTCTATTTTTTCAACTCAGTTTCCAAATTCGCAATGCGAATATCTAGATTCGCAACGCGATTTTAAAAAATGTGTTGCGATAGTTAAAATGTGTTGCGAGAGTTTGAAAAACGTGTTGTTGCGATAGTGAAAAAGTGTTGCGATAGTGAAAAATCCAAAATAAGTTTACATTTTAACTATTCCAAATTCACGTGGAGTTTGAAACAATAAAGAATGTGTTGCGATAGTGTAAAAGATTCCCAAGCCATTTGTAAGATCTTAGTTTGAAACAATAAAGAATGTGTTGCGATAGTGTAAAAGATTCCCAAATGTTTGCATTGCTCAATCCCACATAGTATTGGAAACACTATTGGGAATGAGTATTTAAGGATTTGATTTCCCACTTCCTTGTTGAGTGGAAGAGAACAAGGGGGACTCTCGCGCACCGCCGCCGCTGCCGTCTCGTCTCGGGTCGTGGTCGTGGTAATACGTGTCTTCGACACGTCCGCGCTGATACTATCTTTTTAGAGAAAATTCTTAAGAAACAAATGCAATACCACCAGTCGTTGCGATTTTCCAAAATCGCAACGCGAACTTCGACTATCGCAACGAATTTGTAAATCATGTTTTGGTAATTTTAAAAATTTTATTAAATTAAAAACATTATACATAAAAAAACTCCATTTTTTTGAAAACTTTTAAAAAAACTTCAAAACTTTGGAAATTCCAATTTCAAACCCATGCCAGCTATCACCGTTTGAAGTCAATCGAACCTCCACCCTACAATAAATCAAACCAACCATAAATGTCACGTCTCTGACGAAGGAAACGGCAAAATCATGACCTAAAATCATGTCTACGACAAACTTAAACCCTCAAATTACACCCAGATGATATAATGATTTGCTTAGAGACAAGAGAGATGACAATCGACTAGAAAGATGACAAGGGCATAGATAATGACGGCCTGACTAACAAGAGAGGTTAAGATTAGGGATAGAGGTTTTAGGGATTTGAGATTTTTTTTGGAATTTTAGAAAAAATAGAGTTCTTTTATAAATATAATATTTTTTATTTTTTAAAAAATTCAAAAATTATCAGAGCGTGATATATGTCACTTAACAAATTTATTAACGGTTGTTACACCTCGAACACCTAAAATGATAACGTTTATAAAGTTATGTACATGAATGATTCAAAAAAAATTAAACACTTATTTAGAAAAAAATGTATAATTTAAATATTTATTTTATAATTAAGCCTTTATTATTCCATCTACTCTTTCTCGTGCTAGAACCCAAATCCCCTGCCCCATAGCAGTGTCCACTTGGAAGGAATAGCGAGTGCCACGTGTTCCTTTTTTTTTCCTGCGATAATAATACTAGTTGTGTACAACATACATTACATATTGAATGGATATAAGCATATAGATGATTGCTATGAGAATTCTACCCGTGGTTCAGAAATTGATAAGGATCTAAGATCAGGATGTACACTATTTTTGAAATTTAAATCCTTTAATACACATTATTTTATGTTACAGAAAGTAAACTTTAATTTATAAATTAAAAAAAATTAAATTTATAAAATTTTAAGAAATCAAAAATAAATTTTCAACCAAAACAACTAATTATTTTTAAAATAAATAATTATTTTAAATTTTCAAGGAGGACATCTGTCTCGGTCTAAAGTCCATCCCTATTTAACCTAAAGCTTGACTGGAAAAACAAACTTCATAACCTTATGAGCAGAGATAGATGCAAAATTTTATTTTAGGAGGTGAATTTAAAATTGTAAAATTTTAAGTAACCAAAAATATATTTTTAATAAAAAATACATAAAAAAATATATAAAATTTATAGTTATTTTAATTTTTCAGGGGTAATTGCCACCAGTCCCTTAGTCCATCCCTACCTATGAGGCTTATATGGTGGATTCGAGGGACGAATACAAAATTAACCCAAATGCCTCTCAGGAAATGCATGCATCATATATAGTTAGATATTGGAAAAATATCTGTTAAGAAACATTGTTTCGGGACATGTTTTAGTTAAGGGAGCAGTTAGAGACATAATCAAAGTCTAAAGTTGGAAGATAAGAAACTAAAATTTCAAAATCATTTTCATTTTTCAATCATATGCCCTGTGTTTACATGTGCATCTCTTAAATGTTGACAATGAAATAATATTAAAGGGAAATTACTTATTTGGTATATCATTTATTCCCTTATTTCTATTTTCGTCACCCAACTATTTTTTTAAAATCATATTTAACATTAAGTTTTGGTTTTATTTTGATATGGCTTATAGTTAAATTTGAGAGTCGACCTAGCGAAAATTATGACTCGACACGATATAATAACATTTTTAGTCTATAAATTATATCAAATTGATCCCAATTTGAATAATTTGATAAATCATCAATATTTAAAAATTATCATTAAATTAATAATTAATTATTAATTATTTTAAATTAAAATAAGAACCAAATTGATAAAATTTTAACATATT